AAATCTCATTTTGCCAATTTTTGCTAAAAATGCAAGGTTAACCCCTGGCCTTTCAATCTGCAATTTTCTAGAAACTTCTGATTTTGCCCTAATTTGGCAAAGGTTAACCCCTTACAATTTGAAATTTTTCAGAAACATCTCATTGTGCCCAATTTTACTAAAAATGCAAGGTTCACCCCTTACTTCGAGATTTTTCATAAAAATCTGATATTGCCCAGTTTTGCTAAAAATGCCAAGTTAACCCCATACAATTCTGCAATTTTTCCAGAAACATCTGATTTTTCCCAATTTCGTTTACAAAAATGCAGGGTTAACCCCTTACAATTTGAAATTTTTCATAAACATCCAACTTTGCCAAATTTCACTAAAAAAGCAAAGTTAACCCCTTTCAATCTGCAATTTTCCAGAAACATCTGATTTTGCCCTAATTTGGCAAGGTTAACCCCTTACAATTTGAAATTTTTCATCCACATCTTATTTTGCCAAATTTCACTAAACAAGCAAGGTTAACCCCTTACAATCTGAAATTTTCCAGAAAGATCTGATTTTGCCCAATTTCGCTAAAATGTGCAAGGTTCACCCCTTACAATTTCAAATGTTTCATAAACATCTAACCCCATACAATATGCAATTTTCCAGAAACATCTGATTTTTCCCAATTTTGCTAAAAATGTAAGGCTAACTCCTTGCAAACTGTTAAATCAATACATGAAGTGTCCCATTTGACTTTTTTAAAACAAATTATATTTCCAGTTTTTAGGGTAAAGGAATTTTCTCTTTTTCCTTTCTCTTTTGTTGTTGCTATATTTTGCGAATTAACTCATTCGTATGGAAGATCATAGTCAATCAAAGAACATTTCACACATAGGGGCCTAAATTATATTTTTTTAATTTAATAGAGAAGCAATGATCGTGCTATCATATACCATTCTATTACTATTGCGAATTACTGTATTGTTTGGAATGCTCACAATTAAAGACACGTTATTTGAAAGATGTATAAATAATATTTATATTACAATGTACATCTTTATTCTTTCCCGGTATAATTTATAGCGTTTCTTACGTCAATTGGCAATCGCGTCATTATATAATGATAGTCAAATTGATCAAACGAAACTCCGTTTTGATTATAGTCAATTAGGAAATATTCATTGATTTATGACATACACCTTTGTTTCAATTTTGATACTACCCGTAGACCTGCCGAGCAGCTGTAGATATCAAACTAAACCAAAGTATAAAAGATAGAGGGTAAAAAAAATCAAAAAGTTATGTGCTGGTCAAGCTTTCAGGGATCGGTCTGAGCCATAACAATGCCCCAGCCGATCCCTTAGTTCTCTTCCGGGGTCTCGGCGTCCCCGACCAATACACACTTCCTTCCCTATCCATCCATATAACCCCGGAGGGCCAGGCACCATGTAAAAGCAAAGAGCTAAGGGAGGAACAGGGCGGCCCCTAAGCCCTGATCCTCCGAGTGGACCACATGCCCTGAACCTGTACGAAGGCGCCAACCTGGAACTCGCGGACAGTACCAGCAGCAGTGCTTACCGATTAAGCTAAGGTACTGTTGGTACTTTACGACGGGAAATTAAATCGCTTATGGTAAATGATTGAACTCATCCGTTAAAACCAAAAAGACACCAGCGGGATTCGAACCCGGGACCCCGCTAATCGTGGACGACGAATCGTAACCACTCGGCCATTTTGTTACCTTAGAATTTTCCTTAAACTGAGAAAAGTTGTCTTTATAGGTGAGCAAACGCGCCAGGAAGATTACTGGGTCCATTTGCTTTACCTTAATGGGTAAAAACAAGTCGATATAATGAGCCCAGTGTGTTTGGTTTGTTAGGAAGCTGCATAACACAGCCTAATGTGCAAAACAGTCGTGTGCTAGGCGGATCATTACGCAACAATGAACACCGCAATTGTGTATTTTCAAAAGGCAAACGCGTAGATTTCTACTCTTTGTATCTGGGCACATATAGATTCTCACCTCCCTCTTCAGCTATTTCGACTTTCTTAAAAAGAAAAATAGAGACTGTCACCGAATCTCCGGGGGGGGGGGGGGGTGGCAAAGCAATTCCCCCCCCAATTCCTTAACTTTTTCGTTATATTCTCAATTTATCATCCGAGCGTGAGTAGAGGAGCATTTGCCCTACCCTCCCCCATTCAAATTAACAGCAATATGGCTTCACACTTCTTCTCCCTTTTTCTCCTTTATCTCCCCCCCCCCCCGTTTTCCGGGGGGGGGGGGGGGGGGGGGGGCAAGTTCCCCCTTGCCTTCCCCTCGCGACGCCGATGCACCCAACCCAACCCCAGCAAAAGTTGCTAGATCCGCTTCTGACGTAAGTTGGTACATTGACATGAAATGTGATATCGACTTAATATCACTATTTTGACCCAAACGAAGTTTCTGTAGCTCATGTAGAATGCAAGAATGAAATTGGGGTAAGCAATTATTGTTGGAGTCTCCAGAATGTGGGAAGGCCTGTTGGCCACGACCAAGCAGCTAGGCAGCGGGATACCAGCCGATGGCTCGTCCGTTCATCATGTGGCATTTTGACACCTTGAAAAACTTCCGATGTTGAACATGAATGACCCGCCAAAAACGTAGCACACAACAGGCTACAGGGGCGTAACCAGGAATTTTCGCGGGGGGGGGGGGGGAGGGGAGTTCATTAGCAAAAAAATTGTGCAGTGTACACAGGTTGTTTTTTCTCCGGACATTTTGGACTCCAAAAATCAATATAGGGGTATGGTGGTGGTGGGGGTGGGGTGGGGGGGGGGGGATCTCACACCGTACTTTCAAATCTGACGATTATTAACAATAATGTTTTTAATACAGAATAGTGTACAAATACCCCCTAACCAAGCTGCCTCTGTCTGTATTTTGTGCACAGGTTTGCCAACAATCCTATTAGCAATAACTTTTAATAACCGCTTTCACTTTTTATTTTATTATTATTTCTCATCATTTATTATCATTCTGCACACATAATGTACAAAAAAAATCTACAAAATAAACTGAACTGGATTGTAATCAAGGCACTATGCAAGGACGGAAATGGTAGCAATTCGATAAATTATCAAACACAAAGCACAATTCTGTAATCTTACATTTATACAGCACATTATATATACACCTTTTAAAAATATTTTTGGAAGGTTGTAAATTACACTCTTGAAAAACCACATCACCATGATTCTCAAGTCACCATGAAGTGAACTGCACAACCAAGTCAGGACAATCTATGACAAGACAAGACATTTAAAGCCTATGCCCCTTTGACATTATGACGTTGACTCAATGCATACTTAAGCAGGAATCAATTCAAAAGCTACTCAGCTTACAACATTTCTGACCCCTGGTCGTGGGGAAATTTTCAGTATGGGGAAATTATAACGGAACTTGTTTAAAGAGGCACTGCGTCCTGAAATCCACTAAATTTTCATGTTGTGGATCGTTTACTTTCTTATTTTAAACATTTGGCTGAAAGGAAACAACCTAATGTCTTATAACTTTCCCGAAAAAAGATGAAAAAAAAAGAAGCCCAAAACGGTTGTTTACATCGGGCACAGCGGAGTACGCATATGTTTTTCCTGTCCTTTCAGTCAATGTATGATATACATTGTATAAATTATGTCACATAAAATTGCACACAGCACCAATGCACAAATGTGGTTTTTTACACGTCCGCAAAAATCGAATGGCCGGAATCACAACTAGAATGAACAGCCCAACTTTTTGGGGTCCCAAAACAGTGGACCCCGAAGTTATTCTCGCACGCATAGTTTCTAAACCCAGTTTTTAAACATTACTTGTGTACATGTTTGTTAATATCCTACTTTTAAATGTTCTTTCCGATTAACAGCATTTCGTTCAAAGCGCATTTTGTAGCCCAATTGCGCTCATTCCAGTGTCCCTTTAAAGATATAGTCCATTTATATATATTTATTGATATAGTTCATTTGTAAATTTGTGCATTTTGTTCATTTGAAGCAACAAAAGTGTTCAAAATCTAATGAAGGATACTGAACAACTAACCTGATGAAGTTTCAGCTCAGCTTCAGCTGTATATTCCAAAAAAAAAACAGCATTCTAGGATCTCAATTTCAAATCAAAAGTTGCTGAATCATGTTTTGAATTGGGCCTGAATTCAGCGTCCGAGACACGTTCTCACTGAGCCGATTGCAGCTACGTGATGTCGCGCACTGATCCGACGAATTATAGCAACAGCACGCGCGTGTGCGTCGTGCCAATGCTTGCGCGCGCTTCGCCGAATAACAAAACTCACTACTAATTTAAATTTTCCTACGGTGTGTCTTTAAGACGCACCGTTGGGTCTTAAGACGCACCATTGGAAAGGCCTTCTTTCGTTGATTACTTCAACATGACAGCTTGCCAAAAAGAATAATTTCACAGGGAGTTTAGTCCCCTTACTATCTTTCAACCAAGTATGTTTTTCAACAATAATTATGCCAGTTACTTTATGGATAGCTGCAAATGATGGACTATAGCTTCAATTAGGGACTTTCAATATCCCCACAAGGTTTTGATCCCTAAGAAAGCTATTTTACAAATGATGTGTGCTCCAAAGTTCAACAAATACAGAACAAGTATGTAAGCACCTGTATTAGGCAGATTATCTTGGCTAAGCACAGCGTCCCGGCCAATAGGTTACCAGTGTTTCTCAATTCAGACGACACACTCAAAAGCAGAATTTGTTGCATATTGAACTCATTAGGCTGAGATTAAAGAGGTTGTGGAATGCTCGAAGACATTTCCGTAATTTTTTGGGTATATGTAGCCTAAGGTGTGATGAAATAAAAACGACCATTGTGTCTGTCATGAAATGAGTACAAAAGCTACTTTTGAGAGCTGTTTTTCAGGTCCTGTTTCAACCCGAACGTGCAATTTATGTAAAAGTCGTCGTTGGGGGCAGCAGACAAAATATAGTAAATCGTGACGTAATAAACAGGACTCCCGATGCAGCGTAGTATAAACGAGTCCTGTTTATTACGTCACGATTTACTATGTTTTGTTTTGATTTACTATCTTCATGTTATAATAGAGGTCTCAAAGCGCCTCATAATTTTTACGCCTGTTCATCAGGCCACGAGACCATGTTTGTGAAGCACTTTGAGATCAGCGTAATCTGGTCTCTGCCCTCACAGGTACCCATTTATACTCCTAGGTGAAGAGAGGGGCAATTGTGGTAAAGTGTCTTGCCCAAGAACACAAGCACCATGTTCCCTGTCTGGGTTGCAACCCATGTACCGTGGCGTGTGAGTTACACACACATAACCACTGGATCACAGAGCTGCAGATATACACGAACCAACATCCATGGCATGCATTGCAGGAAGCGAAACCCCAAATCAGCAAAGATTCCCTATGGAGTGATTTAGACTTTTGGAGGATGCTCATCGGAAGATAAAGTTGGCATTCCGTGGAGTATGTGGATGCTGATGAGCTGCTCATCCCTGTAGTAATATCCATGCAGTACCAAAGGACGTTTTGAGCCAAAATGTTAAGCGCGCACAGATGCTACCTTGGGGCTTGACCTACAAAACCAAAACACATACACGCACAATAAATGAATAGCAGAAAAATGACAATATAAATTATAAAACAAGACAAGGTAAGCCTAGTAAAGTTAGTCCTAGAGTGCATAAAATTCTATTCAATCAATTCAGAATGGCTGTTCACTGGAAGTCTGCTCAAGCATGATGTGGCTTTTTAATACACAATGGGCAAGATTTAGCCATTTCATTGGTAATAGGGTCATTCCGTGTCAAATCACCCAATGGGTTAAACCCCACCCCCTTCAAACTTGCTCATATTTAGTATGTGGTGTAATTTAAGCTGAAAAAGCTGAAATCTTCAGTTTTAGCGTCGTGGGCTCCGTGCGTCGACAAAGAGGGCGCCCTTTTGCCTAGCAACGACTTCCCATGGGCGGGACATTTCGCTGGTTGATGCGCACTGTTCCTTGTGTGTGACGCACGTACACCAGGGGATTTGTACTATGTACACGCAGTGGTCGTGCTTCGCAGCAAATGAATTGCAGTCAGGCAAGATGGCGTCGGTCGGTCATCCCCAACTGTACTCTCTTTGCCGGTGATGGGGTACTTGTGAACGGGGCGGATAGGACAAACATTTTGGCGCTACCGCCCACCATTGTTTGGCAATTTTGGTAAAAATGGGCGTGTCCGCCAATTTTCAAATGACAACTTTCAAAAGTTCCAGTTGGGGAACATACAACATGCACGTACTGGTGTTCACGCATTCAGCGTGAAGTATGCAAGACTAATTTTTTTCAGAGTGTGCAGAAACCCATAGCATCTTCGCATGAGCATCAGCTGCTGACAGTAGCGTGTACCAATGCCATTCTAAGTGGTCCACCCAAACTGTCCATTTGCAACCGTTGAGGGGGTACTTGTGCACGGAGCCCATAGGCTGGCCCCTCTTGGACTAGCCAAAACACCTGTTTCCCTTGTGGGGTTCAAGTCAAGGGTGAGTATCTGCATACCAACCTGGGTGCATACCAACCTGGGTCCACTGAATACATTGCCTAGCAAGGTTCCGTGTTCGGAAAAAATGTTAACTGGAAACTAGTCACAAGCAATGTGCATTGCTGGACACTTTAGCTGGTAACCTTTTTGATCTCAGATAATACTTCTGTACTTGGCGGCTCTACAAGCTTTGGCCCCGATACTACTAGATGAGAAAATTATCAGTGAACTTGCCTCTGGCTTGGAGTAGATTCTGCCTGGCTTTGATGAAGGCCATGATGTCTGCGTCGGCCCTCTTGTCCCCTGTAAGCTGAACGGCCGACTGGCCGGATGAATCCACTAAGGACCTGTACCATGAAGAAAACAGACACAGTAAAGTGAGCACTTTCCCAATAGAGGCCACTTTTCATTTTACAGTTTACATTCTACACACCCTGTCCTGCAATAAATCATTCATCATTTGATGTTTATGTGGGATACAGCACAGACACAAATGAATTCGGAAATCTTATAAATACTGATGATCATTATTCGCAGAAAATATTTATATTAATTCAAATGTACATATCAACCCCTACCCCCCATAAAAAAAACCCCAAAAGACAAAAACTGCCGAGTCCTTAGTGAGGTCAATGGAAAAGGAGGCCATCTAGAATGAAGTGCGTCATACCTTATTGTTAGAATTCCCTTAGGCTTTGTATGTGTAACATTACAAAGCCAGAGGGAATTCTTTCAAGTAAGGTATGAAGCACGTCGTTCTAGATGGCCTCCTTTTCCGCCTACCCCTTACTGATTCGTTTTAAATGAAAGCTATTCAGAAATGGCTTCCAATTTTTTTTCCAAACTCAATTTTCCCCATGAAAAGCAAAAGATGAGCTTTCCCTATATTTGGGTTGTACACTGTAGTGTGACTCACTCCTTCTGGTTTTGACAGGAATTCACTTTTTTTTAAACTGACGACAGGCTTGGCTGCATACACTCAAAATTATCTTTTCTGTGTATGAGAGCCAGATTGAAACACAGTTGTAATCAAGTTAATCAAATGCCAATCACAGCGCAATTGCTTGTCGGTCACTTGTCAAATCACAAATCAGGTCACAAGTCACAAGGGACTCAGACAATATGTGACCCGCTCCACACATAAAGATATATAGTTGCGCTGTGCATTATCGTGTAATGGCCCGCTCAATATTGAGAGGGGGAAAATTTCGTCAAAATGTGATTTTCATTATTTGTCATGAATGACATCTTTATTACCTACATTTTCAGGGTTCATTCACAGAAATGTTGTTTCGATGAATAAAGTGGGGAAAACAACCCCACAATTTTGAGTGCATGGTGCCCAAATCTACAACAGAGTAAGCTCTTTCAAAGCCTGTCTTCTCAGTTGTGTAATTCGAACTCCAAGGAAGTAATTAATAGGCAAATATGTAATATCTCCAGACAGGAAGGGCTATGTGGAGTGCTGTGGCCTCGTGGTTAAGGGCACTGGATTCGTGGTCTGTGGGTAAAGCTGCGGGTTGTGGGTTCAAGTCCAGTCATGGTGCGTGTGCCCTTGAGCAAGGCACTTTGTCACTCATTGCTTCTCTCCACCCAGGAGTAAATGGGTACCTGTGAGGGCAGAGATGGTCATTGTGATTGAATAAGCTTGCTTGCGCCTAACAGGCAGCATCGAGCTGTATACTCCCCAGGGAGCTGAGATGGTATTTGGAATGTTTCATTGGCCCAATGATCAGGGGTAATAATAATACTGTAAGCGCTGTGATTTAGTTTACTAACAAGAGAGTTCTTAAATACCGATTATTATTATTGATTATTATTATGGAGCTCTATTATACACCAAATAAAAGCTTACGTTGTGGGCTTTCCAACCATGTATATGACTCAATTTAACTTTTTTTTGTGACATAATGCCCTTTTCTGTGGAGTGGGTCACATATGTGTATATGAATCCAATCACCTTGAGCGACGTGAGCTGGACTTTGACTCTGGGCCTTCCACACCCCCTGCGGATGACGGCTTCCCCAGGGGCGGAACCACCGGGGGTCTCCCACCGCCTCTGTCCACCTGTGCGGACAGGGCTCCGAGCAGGGCATTCCTGGAGGTCCCTGAGTACGGCCTTCTGGCAGACGCTGGGTCTGCGGTGTACACAGTGCTTTGTGGGAGATGACCCTGATGATGGGGGGTGGCGGTGGTAGTATGATGGTCCGAGACCTGGTCCTTCAGGGGTGAAATAGGGGGCGTTCTCCAGGCCTTGGAGGGATTGGATGGGGGTGCTGTAGGGGGCTGGGGCTGAGGCAGTGACTGCTGGGCCTGCCAAGAACAAGAAATTGAAACCTGATATAAAACTAAGCCTAATTCTCCTTATTTTGCTATACAGCCTTGTTGATTTTAGTAAAGGATTAAATGATTCACAAAATTCGTTGATATCCAAGCAGTTAACATTGAACCAATCTAAACACATCTGACTTGCAACTGTTCTAATCACATCTGACTAATTACGTGCTGCTTTACTAATAAAGGCATCAGCTCTAATCAATATTCATGCATCCACCGAAATACACACAAAAAAAAGGCAACAAAAATATTTCTGCTTCCGGTTACTCATTTTTTCTTGAAAAGTTTTTTTCTTGACAAGTTTAAAAATGATTTCAAATGCGTATGTAAAAACGCATTCATATTGTCCACTCTGTCTAACCAAACATTCTTCCAAACAACCATATTATGTCCAAAACCCTTTAAACATTCCTGCTGTTTGTATTTTTACATAATTTACAATCCATGAATTCTATTTAAAAAAAAACACTCCTGTTTTTTATAACAAAAAGCTTTTCAGATGGACTGTGACAAAGGCATTTCTTTCTCATTACTCATTTCGCGCTGATTGTGATTGGACTTGTGACAGGACTTATGATTTGACTCGTGATTTGACTTGTTACTGGACTTGGATTGACTTGTGACTGGACTTGTAATAGACTTGGATTTGACTTCTGGCTGGACTTGTGATTTAACCTGTGACTGGACTTGTTATTTGACTTACGACTGGACATGTGATTTTACTTGTGACTGGACTTGTGATTTAACCTGTGACTGGACTTGTTATTTGACTTACGACTGGACATGTGATTTTACTTGTGACTGGACTTGTGATTTAACCTGTGACTGGACTTGTGATTTGACTTACGACTGGACTTGTGATTTGACTTGTGACTGGACATGTGATTTGACTTGTGATAGACTTGGATTTGACTTGTGACTGGACTTGTGATTTAACCTGTGACTGGACTTGTTATTTGACTTACGACTGGACATGTGATTTGACTTGTGACTGGACTTGTGACTTAACCTGTGACTGGACTTGTTATTTGACTTACGACTGGACTTGTGATTTGACTTGTGATTTAACCTGTGACTGGACTTGTTATTTGACTTACGACTGGACTTGTGATTTGACTTGTGACTGGACTTGTGATTTGACTTATGACTGGACTTGTGATTTGACTTGTGACTGGACTTGTGATTTAACCTGTGACTGGACTTGTTATTTGACTTACGACTGGACTTGTGATTTGACTTGTAACTGGACATGTGATTTGACTTGTGACCTGACTTGTGATTTGACTTGTGACTGGACTTGTGATTTGACTTACGACTGGACTTGTGATTTGACTTGTGACTTGACTTGTGACTGCACTTGAATTTAACTTGTGATGGACATGACTACAACTCTACTACCCAGACCAGACAAATACCGTGGTCTTTACCTGCACATTAGCAGCTTGCTCAGCCCACCAAAGCTCAAAGTCTTTCTGCAGCTGCAGTCGAGACTTCTCCAGGAAGTGCTGTAGGTGCTCAATCTCGGTCTTGAGTGACCGGAGATGGTTGAAGATCTCCTTGTAATTGGCCTTCTCTTGTTCCATCTGCTGCCGTAGCGCCTGCTCCACCTCATCCGGTTGGCCGGGGTCCTGCTCCCCGCTCATGGCCAGCTGCAGGCGTCGGTGCTCAATTTGGCTCTTCAGCTTGTCTGCAGACATACAAAGGAAAACAATATTGAGAACCAGTGATAGTGCAGTGTGGTAGTCTCAATAGAGCAGCAGCATCCTCATTCTTGTTATGAAGAGCAAAACATGTTTTTCAAAATGAAACGTTAGGTTTTGTTTAACAATTGAATCACAGTTCCGAGGTCTGCAGCTTTGCTAATGTTGCTGGTGTGGTTTCAAAGATCTGTTTATGCTTATTTTGACTTCTACTGACATTTGCTCATTTGCATGCCAGCATGCAATGCAGGCATAGATCTTTCTCCCAATATCAGTTTGTTTTTTCAACAAAAAAGTGACAAAATTTGTCTAACGTCACAGTCTCAATATCTATGTCCCACATTGTATCCCACTCATCCTTCATTGTCCGCACATCCAAATTGTGCAATTCTCTACCAAAATCATGCTTCCCATTATCCTATAACACACAGTCTTCCAAGAACTTCATCAACACGCTCGATCTCTTATCACTTTCCTAGTCAATCTCTGTGTCAAGAGTCGCATTGACTATAGGTGCTTCCTGCCTTTTCATGGAATTATCTACTGAAAGGTAGAGTATATCATTTGCAGGTTTCCAAAAACGAAACTGACAAAATTATTGTTGAAAAGCATACTTCGTTTGAAGATAGTAATGGCACTAAACTCCCTGTGAAATTATTTTTTTCTGGCACGCTGTCATTTTGAAGAAAACAATAAAAGAAGGTCATTTCCAAAGATGAATCCATTTTAGACGCATTTTTGAAATTTCCGTTAGTAGTTCGTTTTTAATTCGGTGAAGCCGTGAATGGGTGCGCGCAAGCGTTGACACGATGCATGCGGTTGCTATAATTCGTCGGTTCAGTGCGTGACATTGCACAGCTGCAATCAGCTGAATGAGAACATGTCCCGGGTGCTGATTTCGGGCGCAATTCAAAATATGACTCGGTAACTTTTGAATTGAAATTGAGATATTAGAACATTCTTTTCTTTTTAGCAAAACAAAAGTTGGAAAATGCTTTACATAAACAGCATTGCACTAAAAAATTGTCACTGAAAGATTAAACATGGTACAAATAGCTGGGAAAAATTCTCAAGTAAATGTATAATCACATCAACGTCTTACTAATATTTTGTCTGCATTCGTTGACGAACTGTCCCTTGGCCTTGGCTTCTGAGTAGCGCTGTTTGAGTTGCTGCTTGTTGTCCTCTATGCCGGCGTTGTTGGGGTAGTCACGACGGAAGATCTCAAAGGCTTCCTGCCTGCCCACAGACATGTCACCTTTTGGAAAAAAAAAAATCGGTTTTAACAATGCTCAATTCTGTAATGTACGCATGATGAAACAAACAGGAAAGATCAAGGAGTATTCCAAAGGAAATCTGACAGTTACAAAGATAAGCAATTAAATATTCTGTATTACTGGTGATAGTTGAAGTTTGGAAATCAAATAGACATTCTTAATGTTGCTCTCTGAATACTATTTTTTGAGTTTCACCCTGAAAACAGAATTTGCTTTTAAATTGCTTTTTTTTTTTACAAACGTTGTTCACTTTAATCAATTCAATCCCACGTCAAATCACAGGTAAGGTAACAAGTAGCAGGTGATGGACAGTGACGACGCCACAATGAGGTCAGCTCATGTAAGACAGTTTATTATTGATGAGAAATTGATGTACACCCGAAACATCAATCTTTGTTTACATCAATCTTTGTTTTCTTGTGGGAGCTTGGTGGCTCCCGTCCCGGATCGGAAAGTGCACATGTGAATAAAGGTTGAGGTCATGATGTCTCCGGTCTATTGATGTGACTTGTGCTTGACAAGTAACTGAGAAGTATTGGTTATGGATGGTTATGACTTGATTACAACTCTGTTGTGAATATTGTATTTTTCAAAGGCACCGTTTTTGAAGATTTTGCGGAAGGGAAGAACTGATCTCATTCTAATATACTACTCAGTTGCTGAATACGCACCTAAAATTTTCCTTTTCGAGTCTTTCAGCCTGTATGAGGAAGAGCTACTCTCCACCTTGTGCCTTGCACCGTCACCTGACCTAAGCATTGCATCTGATTGGTCGACAGACTGCCTGTCCCTGTCACGTGACCTGTAGTCCTCGTCCGATTGGGTCCTTCCCTGCCTGGATCTCCTCCCATGTGACCTGTGCGGCTCCTGTGATTTGTCGCTCGCTCTGGAGGAGGTGATGTTGGAATTGTAGCCATTTGGAATGTCCTGGTCTGAGGAGGAAGCAGACAGATCCGGCTGGTGACTTCCAGCCCTGTTATGGAGTTGACTGAGGGCGTCCTGGGCTCGTTTCTTCTCTTTCTTCAGCATATTGACGAGGATGTCTGGAATTTCGGCAGGTTAAGGACTCATCAAATGTTTGATTAAGAAAGGAAGGGACCGGAGAGGAAGGAACAACATAACTACGTACCTAGGCACTGACATAAATTTCAATGAAGTCTGATCTTTTTCTTGAAACTCTTTGAGTTTCTACATGAACTGATGTAAATATGAGATAGATCAATACTGATTAGAGTGTTCAAGGAACAATGCTAAAAGCTTATCTCAAAAGACTTGAAACACCTAACTTGAAACATCTAACATTTTGATTTCAGTCAGCCTATTGTCAGATAATAATATTAATAATACCGCAGTCTTATATAGCGCACGTATCTACCAACAATAAGGTACTCAAGGCGCTAATGAATTTATTTTAAAGACAGGTAAATGAAGTATTTGAAATATGAGACCCATTTTATGTAGCACCTTATAAGGATATACAAGGTGCTGTGGCGCATTAAGCGGCCACTGCCAGAAACACCGGGGCAAACCCCTTCTCTTAGCGATAAGTGTTACTGGGTTCTTTTTGCATTGCACAGCACACGGGACCTACGGCCTTACGTCCCATCCGAAGGACGAAGCAATAATGGTTAAGTGTCTTGCTTAAGGACACAAGTGTCAAGAGCGAGACTCGAAGCCATGCTCTGCCGATCAGAAACACCACGGAGCTTTAGTCCAGTTAAGTCCCATCCGAAGGACGAAGCAATAATGGTCAAGTGTCTTGCTTAAGGACACAAGTGTCAAGACAGAAACACCACGGAGCTTTAGTCCAGTGCTCTTAACCGCTCGGCCATGATACTCCAAAGATAATCCTCTTTTAACCCATCTTACTAACTGACTGGCTTACTAATTCACCGACTGTCACTTGTGAGTCTGCCATGTGCTTTCATATAGGATTTATTACACCAGGGGTTAAATGCGGCCCAATGTGTAGACCACATTAATGAAAAGACTTCCAGTGAACAGCCATTCTGAATCAAATGAATAGATTTTTTTGTGCTCTGGGACTAGATGTACTAGACATAAAGTTTCTAGAAATTCTGAAAAGGATACTGATTTCATTGTCCCTCTGTTTGAGCAGTTCCTTCATCTTGTTCATCTCAGCTTGATTGACAGTTGACACTGAGTCAATGGATGACATGGGATCTTCATTAGGCATCCGCTGTTCTTCCATTCTTTCCTCCTCCCTCTGCTTTTGTCTGGAGCCGCCCGAGGCAAACCCCTTCCCTTGTGCCAATCTCTGTCCATGAAAATTATACATTTTGTTCTTCAAAACCAGAAGTGTGTTCATTCCGATCTCAAAAGTTTAATTCCACATACTTTCCAAACCTTTTTCTTTTCTCCAAGTAATACATTAATTTGTGTGAAGTTATGGATTTGCTTGCTGAACATCATTCAGACAAATGCCTTCGAACGTGTCCAATGTATTGGAAGTTTTACTGTCTTTGTGTTATAAAAAGGGGAAGAGGAGTTTGCGTTTTACCAGTGCTGTACACACCTAATGCCACTTACTTTGACAGTCCCCTTTTCGTCATTTTTATTTATTTAAAAATTGTAGTGCCAAATGGTGTACTACATTGTATCAATAAGCTAGATCAGTCATTTGCAGCGCTATTATCAGACTGTTTACACCAGTTTTAATGCTTTCTTTAACCCTTCTTTGCAAAGATACATTCTGTGCCAAGTAGTCCTTTCAGTCAAAATCAAACAAGTGACTTCTTTCAATAGTTAAGAATTCCCAGCCTACATAAAGCAGGATTGACTGCCTTGGACTGTTTAAGTCACTTGATACAGCTATGCTTTGACTCCGGGTGAGTGATAAAATAACTGTGACCACAACTTGCCTGCTTTGTCTGTTGACCCAGGTTGACTAGTCACAGTGCTTGCTTGACATATGATCTGACTGCTGGTGACTAGCTTTTGTTAAAAGTATAGCAGGGGACGTGGAAGTGAAATTTGACTGTCTGTGACTATTTAAATAGCAGGAGGGTTAGAGAGTGCAGTCCCTCTTGCATTCTAAGCACAATGTAAAGCTCAAATTTGAAATCAAGCTTCTCCCTCCATCTCAAAAATTCCTCAATGTGATCCTGACCAGTGCTATAGTTGCTACCACCACACCACCAGGCCTTTCATTAATACATCACAAGTCCTTTCACAAGTCCAGTCACAAGTAACAGGGGATGAAATATAACAAAGGTATGCCTCTGTTTCAATTCATTTGAATAGCTCGGTCACAATTCATTCAGTCTCAATTTACGTAAGCGATTCTGTGACAAAGTTCATGCCTTCAAACTTGTGGTCTGACTTGGGAAAGACATGTGACTGACCATGTGTTTGAATTCTGGATTGACTTGTGATTAACCATGTTAACTGCAAATCTGATTCAGAGCATTTTAATCACAGACTTATCCACAGGGACACGCGACTGTCACGCTCCCATACAAAGCTTTACACACAAGAATTCCTTCCTTTGAGAAAACAAACAGTGACAAACATTGACCTTGAGCATCCTGAAGCACTCATTGATCTTGCGCATGTCAGCCCCGACATTCAGCGTTGCCTCGGGATCTGAGTCTTGGATATAACTGTCAACAAGCTCAGTTAATCTGCAAGACAAATAATTATTGGCGAAATCATTAATCAAAATGAACTCTTCAGGATATCCTCATGAGGAAACGAATTCAGGAAAGAAAACATCAGCACTTTTTTCAACAGTTCATTGAAAATCGTGCCCTTTCTTCCATTTCATTTCACTCAACTCATGATAGTTTTGCTTTTGCTTCAAATGTCCCTCCTGAAATGCCAAGATTGTCTAGGACTCCTACGTTGGACTCAGGAACTGTAAATAACACTTGGTGGCTTGCTAATTGTGTGCCAGACACCGGTACGCTCAATCACAGATCCTCTACACAAGGATAAACGACAGACTGAGCTTGTGTACAAAATGTACGGAACGGTTCGTCTAGGAGTGTGATATGTCCCGTCCGCGCACAGAACAACGCTTAGAACATGTAGAACAATGCACGCGTGTCATGATGGCCGACAGCTGGCATCTTGACAGAAATTTGACCATTGAAAGACTACAGTCGTGCGCCGAGTCGCGCACACGTGCGAGTGCCATATCATGCCACTAACCAGAAATTTGGAGAAGTCGTTTATCCTGGTGTAGAGGATCCGTGGCTCAATTTATTTTCAAGTGATTGTGAACAAACATGTATCATCTCCATGCGAGTGCTGAGTGCATGCTAGCAATGATGTCCAAGTGTCTTTGTCACAGTTAAGAAAGTACTTGCAAACAAAGTCCATACCTTTGCTTTGACAATAAATCACAGAGTTACTTCAAGATTTGTCACTTACCTCTCCCTATCCTCATCAGTCAACTCATCCATGCTCTGTTCTCCCGTGGCTAGAGCCAGTTGGTTCTTCAACTCCTGTATCTCTGCTTTCAATCGTGCAATCATCTGAAGAAAAAAGAAGAAGTAAATTTTACACAAACAAATTAACTGGAGTGAGTTTTGAACTTGCAACCTGTTCCAGTGCTCTACCAAGCTATCCAGCCCTTTGTTGGTGGTTTCCCAATCTGTCAATATCTTTGTTCATGCTTAAAATTATTACAGTATACCTAGTTAGTTTCCCTTTTGTCATTTGATAAAGTACATACACAATTTTCGATAAATTCCTCCTTTGCAGCTGCAGGTCAAAACAAAAGTGGAGAGGCAGCTGACATATGTACGAACTGAAACACTGATCACATCAATAAAATCTTTCATAAAGAGGGAGAGTTAGAAGAGACTTTAACGCATTGCCATCGTATGTCTGGTGCTCACACTGAGACGATGTTGGCTTGAGCACTTTTAAAATAAACTTAATATTTAGCATCATACATGAGCAAACGGGCACTCATGCACTGTGCCCTTCATAGAGAACTCACATGAGTGGTCCATCAACTGTTCAAAATGGAGTCTATTGGCTAATAGGATGAGAAACAGGTTTCCTAAGAAACTGACTTACGAGTTTAGGATCAATCTCTTCATTCAGGAAGGCATCATTCTTGATCAGGGCCACCCTCTGGGCAAATCGACACGTCGAGATGGACTCCTATGGCATAAAAGTAACAAGGTTTTTGTTTGTTTATTATATTATTATAAGATGGTAACGTCAGGATGCTTAGTGCACATAACGTCAACACAACCTGCATTATGTGGACATCTTTTGTTCACAAGTCCACATAGTGACTGTAAGACAAACTCGCACACACACACGCACACATTTACTGAAATTTGTATTCTTGTGGAGACATTTCTTTGTTTTCGAGTTTAATAGTGAAGTTTCAAAATGCTCTTATTTTAACCAGAATTAATTTCCTTGTCTGAAATTCGGACTTAATATCCCTTTTAAAAACTCTTCCATTTGCGACAGATCAACCCACCTTGGAAATTCCTAGTTTTTGAGTAAAATCCATATATCTATTTTGTGAAAATCTTGTGGAGACGTATTCATCTATAGAAATTGCCCTGTGGAGACGTTTACAATCTTTTGTTCCTTATTGTGTGCACGTCTCCAGAGGGCACGGTGTATCAGATCAACCCATGCATGTAATAGGCATAAATGTACACACACAAACGTGTGTTCACTGTCGATCATGGACGTCCTATTGTCCCTCTTTTGTTTGTACTTTAACTTTTTAGGAAGACTCCAACAGGTTTTGTACACGACCCCAATCGCGGACGTATGCTGGGAATCGTGGACGATATTGTTCTCTTTTGTTCTCTGGTATTTTTCGTCCATGGTTTGAAAAGATGAACACGTACACGCATGTACGCACACACATTTGTTTTACATACGCTATGTGGACATTCCTTTGTTTTTGTGTAGTTAAGAAAACTTGGTACAAAAAGTAACTTTACTTTAACTGTGAAAACTCTTTCAACCCAATTTTTTTTTTATGATTCCCTTTAGTGTTTCTCTTCATTCTGCCACAGATAAACCTAACCCAAAAATGCCTCTAAACCTGTTTTCCAAAGAGGGCAAAACGTTATGTGGACACGGCTTAGTCCACATAACGTCAACACAACCTGCATTATGTGGACATCGTTTGTTCACAAGTCCACATAGTGAATGTAAGTCAAACTCACACACACACACGGACGGAGAAGGCAGAAACAGTATGCCCCTTCGGCTTCGCTGGTGGGGCATAAAAATGACTCGAGACTTGACTTGTGGAAAATTGACTCGAGACTTGACTTGGAAAAAAAAAAGACTTGCGACTTGACTTGCCAAAATATGACTTGGGACTGGACTTGACTTGGAAAAAAATGACTTGGTTACAACTCTGGCTTCGCAAACAGCGCCTTCAACTGATTGGACATGCAACCAGGCTTGAAGTTCCACTCTCGTTGCTTGCTGTTGGACAAAAACAACCAACCCACAGAACCGTACCGTAGAGGTGGTGCACTTATGTGAACCTACCAACAGCAACTTACTGATAACCTGAGGCTGGTTGGTATTAGCTCGAATCAGCTACACCAAGCCACTCAAAATGCCGAACATTATTATTGTAGTCACTGAGCAAAGCCCATGTGCTGCACGCGCACAGACGTCACCATGATGCTGATGATGTGGCCACACTCACAACTTAATACTAACATAAATTTGCTAGCTCATATGAACCATCAGTCTGCAGATATACTTACATCAATGTTCTTTTTCTCCACCGAGCATGTCGCAATCATGGTGGTCATGCAGTTGCCCCCTAGGCTGTCTCGTAAGACAGACGTCATCATGGAGTTGCGATACGGTATGTGCGTCCGCGACTTCTCCGATAAGGCAACAATCACCTGATTAAAAAGAAAATGCAACAATATAAACACATCTCACTCCCAGCTGTATACATTGTATTACATTGTGTTTATTCATTGATGAATCCATGAAACAATTGACTACTCAGGTGATTTGAGGCACTACAGGGAATAAAATGCAGGGCAGTCAGGCGTGGTACAGTGACTGACTGGGTTAAATGACAAGTGATGCAAATAGGTGGAATTTAGCATGCGAAGCACACCAAAAAAGTTACTGCAGAGAGGCAACTTAAACATTGTACCCCTTCTACCCAAGAGCTCAGCTTCTTTTTAGTTGCATGTGACTTCAGCTGAAAATCTTTGTGTAAATAGTGAATACTGTTGAATCTATTAACTCTTTCGCTACTGAATTTAATTTCCCGATTTGTTCACGTTTGTACGTAATAAATCGCTGGAAATTCCGCCATGTGTCAATGTGGACGCCGCCATCTTTAAATGTCTCTCTGTAAACAAACTGCTCAAAATAACCTGGAGCAGACCCCGGTGAGACGGAGAGCTGTTGGCAGCAGCTCAAACTAGGGTCAGAGGTTATACGATATAAATTATGTAAATAAGGCACACGTCATGGGGATACCCCTGTTTATTCACAGCAACGTCACCGAGCCGCTGCCAGCGGCTTGCCACACGACATGTACAATTTTTGTGTGCCGCAGTCAGCGGCTCACCGTAGCGAAAGAGTTAATGAGGCTCCCACATTTGTTTGTGTTTATGTGACCCTGCACATGATACCAACAGAGTAACAGATGTAGAGATGTCGACTACAACTTTGAAAAGTTGTATTTCTGAAACAAATGCTTGTGGACGAATGCGTTGTGAATCGCTTCTATTCACCCTGTGTGTTATTTCTTAATTTTACCCAGTGAACGAGAGACAATTTTGGAATTTTTAGTTTTTATAACTCAATCATGACAAGTAATTTAAACAACCTATTTTTTCATGCAACTAATCATGCTAATAGGTAGGATATAAACCGATTGAAATTTATCATCAATTTTTTGAATGAAATTTGAACAACAGCTTTGCTGTTATTGTAGCTTTGGAAAAAACCAAAGAAACACTATTAATGTGAGTTTACCTGCTCCAAATAGTGCAGTGACAGGTTGATGTACTTTGCCTCAGTCAGTAGCGTCCCTCCAACTCCCGTCTTGCCAACTCTCTCGGATCTGTAGAAAGACAAAATTATTCAGCTCTTCCAATGAATGTTCCCTGTTACATCATGATTTCTCCATTTTCGTCAATACACACTCGACAGGCCTATGGGCTGCGTGAGGAAAGAAAAGCTACGCACAAATGGCACACAAAGCACAGACACCATATACAACTGAATGTGTGTACAATGTAAGTGTACATTTTCAATTAGTCATGACGGTCGTGCTTGGGTCCTGTTATGGAATCCGTGCTGGAAAAGTAACTGGCAGAGTTAAGCCGCTTACTAAACCTCGCATATGAACATGATATAAGTATGCACTGGTTTGCACACCTGTATGGCACCAAGTACACCAGACCAATTTGATTTGAATGTGCATGTTATGCCCAACTGTACTTGGGACAATCATCCGAATTGTAGTTGAGCTCATTGCTACTACAGTTGGGACTGCCCCAACTGTATTTGTGATGCGCTCAAGCTAAATGAGCCATTTGTTGACAATTATGATTTTAAGATACAGCCCAAAATAGGTCAGTAGGGGTGACAATGTCAAAATTGACTTTTTTTTGTAAAATCGGCAGGCTACATATGTCCTCTTTCATGTCAACTATCTTTTTCCGAGAAAAACTGATGATAAAGTAGTTAAGATGTGACATTTTTGTTAAGGAGTTAATATTCAATAACCTGAAATAAAGCATGTTTGTTGCTGCTTGATAAACACTTCAATTCTGAATTGTTGATTTCTCTGTTTGATTTCTCCGTTTTCTTCTTTCTGATCTGCCTGTGTTCCAAGTCCCATAACTTCTGAACGGAAGGTTGTATTCGCATAGGGTTTTCACCAAATATAAACTGAAAGATAGCTCTATTAAAAAATGTAAAGAAATATTATTGATAAGGGCCGACAAACGACTCATTTAGCTTGATCGCATCACATTTGGGACTGTCCAATCACCAGGTCGTAAGTAATAACTCACCCAGCGAGATCCACCAGGTGTAGCTTGGCCCTGCGGATGGTGGCTGATCCTGCCTCACGGACGGACACGTGAATGGTAAAGATGCAGTGAGAACGGGTGGAGGCTTGGTTCATGGGCGTCTAAAGACAAAAAAGAATGGCCAAAAGTGATTCACATCAATGTACTGTTAACCCTAACTTCCCAGGCCTTTTTGCTAGAATGTAGCCTCAATCCTGCAAAATCCTCCAATTGGCCTCATGGAAAAATATAGCTTCAATCCTGCAAATTCTTAAATTATTTCTTGCATATGGTCCATAGAGGGGTGACCACTGCCTGAATCCTGCAAAATCCTGCGGCAGTGTCAATATGATGAGGCTTGGCCAGTGACATCCTGGAGCAGTACGGAGGATTTCAAGCATAATATAGGCCTATATTTATGCATGGCTGAGCAAAAACAACACAAGGTCCAGCCAAAGTGCATCCTACAAAATCAGTAATGCACTTTTGCCATGTAGCCTCAATTCCTTAAAGTCCTCCACTTTGGCAAAAAGGATTTTGAAAGATTCAAGGCGGTTAGGTTTAAGCATTGCCTGATGGGATTTAGGGTTAATTTAAGTAAGCCTGTGAAATTAGCCCAGTACCTAACATCAACGTTATGATTTGAGCGTGCCAATTTCTTATCTGTTCTCACCTCTGCAATCATGCGGTTAGTGTCTCCAAGGAAGAGTAAGTTGAGGGCCTCTTCCTCATTACTGGCCTGATGGATGGAGAGATTCTTGAGATGGATGTTGCCATCACTGTCCTCCATAAGGGAAACTTTCCTGTTTCCAAATAAAAAAAGAGAAATTCAATTCTTAAACATTCAATGTCAGGCAAGTGGCATGTTTACAATGTACTGTTAAAAGAAAAATTAACATTTGGCTGTCAACTCCGTGTACATAGTGCAAAGAAATATGTATGTGCATTAACCCTTGTACTTTTGGTGTAGTTTATTGCAAGTCAGTTGTGCATGCCAATGCACTCCAGCAGAAGTGCATTGGAGGATTCTTGGACTCACCAGCCAAGTGATTTGACCACAGACATGACAGACTTGTCTACTGTGGTCTCATTGATTATTGCTGACCAAAGAGTTTCCTCACAGCATGGCCAAGCTTTCTGTCAATACCCTTTGGTAGTTCCTGCAGTGTACTGTGGTTCACCCCCAAAGTACAGTGGCAGATATTGGAAGGCTGTGCAAAAAAACTCGGGCGAGTCACGTTTTTCAAATACTGAAGTGACTGGAGAATCAGGTAGAGCAAGGTTTTCTATTGTTCGGCAAAGTTGGAATGAGTTACGGGGACTTTCGAGTGTCTGCAACCGTATTGTTCAACTTGTGTGTGGTCCCAACAACTCTGGAACGAGTATCAGTACATGTATGTTTGGTCCTACATACTCCATAGCCCTTTCAACCCGTTGGCACCTGTAATATATTTTATTACATTGCATTCATTTACTGAAGAATCCATAAAATCATTCAGTGCTTGGGCAGTTTCAGGCAGCACAGGGACAGATAGGTTAATGTGCTATCTAAAAGTGGGGAGTGTGGCCTGGTGGTTAGGCCTGGTTTGTGACTCATGATCAGAGGGTCAGGGGTGCGAATTCAGCTGCCGGCAATATGTTGTGTCCCTGGGCAAGCCACTTCACCCCCATTTGCCCCTCTCCACCCATGAGTACAAATTGCTACTGGCATTAGCTGGGGAGTATTAACCAGCGATGGACCAGCATCCCATACAGGGGGAATAGAAATATTCTCAGTCGTTTCATGCTTCTGAAACCGGAGATATACACCGGCCTGATTGGCCCGTGACAGACTTTACTTACTTCACCGCATTTACATAACAAGAATGATCCACTACAAAGATAAATAAACACTGACAAAAACCAACACATATTGTAAAGATGACGCAAACAACAGCATATCATTCACTGTTTGTCCACAAGTTTTTTTCCATGTACTCACGGCAAGTCTTCCAGCTTTGCAGCCTCATGCTTGGGGTCCAGCAAGTCGTATCCACTCTCGTTGTAAATTTCCAGATAGGAGATATGAGTGGTGTAGACATGGCCAGGGTTCTAGCAAATAAAGAGGTTTAGTATCAATACACATCTATCAAACTAATTTAAAAAAAATATACTTTTGCACAAGCACTCCCTGAACAGTGAAGACCAAGATTGAATAAAGGACACCCGAGCCCATTGCTACATATGCCCACAAGTGGCCACAATCAAGTGTGTTCATTTGCGAAGTTGCTAAGGGTCTGTGGACTTCAACCTATTAGCACTTGTAATACATTGTATTACACTGTATTTACTCCTTGATGAATTCATAAGACCATAGACTGCTGGGGCGGTGTGTACTCCACACCATAAGCATGCAAACCAGTGCACGCATTCTTGTTACGTAACTGTGGGGGACTACACACTTAATGTCCCATGGTACTATGGGGACTGAAGATGCTATGGGGACAGCAGAAAGTCCCCATAACATCGGTCCTAATTTCCCTAACAATAAAAAAGTTCCCCATAACGCGGTGATGGCCCGCCCACCCATACTTTGACAAACGAACAAAAATAGCTCTCATCAGGAGGCTACACAATGCTACATCACATAAACTCTTCTTATACAGAGTCCATCTCTCCACCAATTGAACCCTCCCCAACTGAATTCGGCGATTCACAATGCAGTGCGCCACCAAGAGTTTGCCACAGAGAGTTAAATTTTTTCCAGTGCATTATGGGAGATGGTTGACAAATTCGCAGCGCGGCACGTTTAAAATCGTTTTTCTGGTCAGTAGTTTTGTAAGCGTATGATTCGAGTGCCTATTTGCCCTTTTCTTTTCTTTTTATTAAATCAATATGGTGCTTTTTTTGTAAGGCGGCAGAATGCTATGCCCCAATCTATAATAAATTAGCTCAAGTTGTCTACTGACACTCGTTCAAATGGGCCGTGTTTCGTCGACCATAAACTTGAACAATGGACTCTCCATGGCAAACTTTTGGTGGCGCACTGCATTGTGAATCGCCGAATTACCTTAGCATATTCCTCGAACAGATACGTGAGCATCCTGGGAATGATTCCACGATCGATGAAACGCTCTGGTCCTCCAGTGATGGTAAATGTCTTCCCACTTCCAGTCTGTGAATCAAATCAAAATGCAATTGGTATAACTTCTCACGCTACAACAAATTTTGATTAAACACACTGTTAACAAGCCAGATATTCATTTCTCTTGAGCACAAACCTTTCCAGGGGTTTTCCCTTGTTTTAAGAAACACATTTTTAAAGTATCTAGGTTTCAAAAACTTTTTTGGCATCCTTCAAACATTTTGGAACATTTTAGTGAAATATTAGTAAAAATTAATCAAGTAATATTCTTTTTACTTGTAACTCAGCATCTGATGACTTGTGATCCACAAGAAGGTAATTGCATTACTAATCTGATCCCATGATTTTGTGTTTAAAACTTGGAGCATGTTCAGGTGAAGAGCATTAGTCGACTAGTGATTGATTCTTGACATACATGTATCTGCGCAATAATAGCAACTGCAGTAATGCAAATATCTCTAGTCAAATGCTGGTCAAGACGTCATCACAAAACCTCTGCTGTTAAGTAGGATGGGCTATTGGTAACCAGTGATGCACCTGTGCCACAGGCTCTGATTCAAATTAATAGAATAGGGTAGGCCAACCACCCTTCATTCAAATAAAGCTAGTCGACTACAGTGAACCACAAAAATACCCAAATTTGCTCTAGGTTGCCACATCACCATTTTGTATCACCGCAAAGTGGTTGCAATTATGTGTAGGACTACAATTCGCGGCGATTCACAATGCAGTGCGCCACCAAGAGTTTGCTGTGGAGAGTCCATTTTTCAAGTTTAGGGTTGACAACACATGGCCCATTTGAACAAAAGTCAGTAGTCAACGCAAGCTTATTTGTTATAGATTGGGTCATAACGTTCTGCTTTCTTAAAAAAAACACCATACTGATAAAAAGAAAAGAAAAGGGCAAACTTTTACTCAAATTATACGCTTGCGTAACTACTGACCGGAAAACCTAACAATTTCAAATGTCCCACACTGTGAATTTGTCGACCATCTCCCTCAATGCACTGGGAAAAATGAACTCTCTGTGGCAAACTCTTGGTGGCGCACTGGATTGTGAATCGCCCAAATTACGTGTAGGTCTACAAAGTACAATTAGGCCATTACCTGTCCATATGCAAAGATAGTTCCATTGTATCCAAGCAAGCAGCTGCAACAAGAAAAAAAGAAGGAACATACATTACTACAAAGAATCAAGGGCAAAAGGTAATCACAGGAACGTACATTGCAGGTACCTCAACTGTGAGACACCACATCATACATGTAGTAGGCTTATTACTTGATACGAAACATCTCTTCTAAAGAAAAGTAGCAACAAACTGGTATTTTTGGGCCTGAAGAACCGGGGTAACAATTGAGATGTACTCAGTTTTATTATGGTTATGTTCCAACTACCTTATATACTATTGTTCCTAATTTAAGTTGGGACCATCCCAAATAAAGTGTCCCAGTTGAGCCGGTCCAACTATAATTCGGATGCTACTACATGAACTCTGTGTTAGAGGGTGCGCATAGTTACACACCATGATTTACCAGTATGTATGTCGGCCACACATATACTGCAAAGTGCCACAGACACTAACTTGTATGTACATGTAGTCACATATTTTGTATAAAAGGACATGAATGAAACGGCAAATAAACAGGGTATTTTTAATGAATTCTGCCATGAAAACAACATGTATGCTGAGTCCAAGACAACTACATGTACATGTAGTTAGGCCAGACCAACTGAAACAGTTTAATTTGGAAAATCCCAACTTAAGTAATAAACAAAAATAATAGTTCTGCTTCCGGTTTCCCTACCAACCCTATTCTGGCAACCCCCACGCTAATATTTTTTTATGAGAAAAAGGAGAAATAAAACACACCAAAAGCCATGATTTACTACATGTACCTTTTACCCTTGACTACACGCAGACGCCTCCATATGATTATTCACAAAAAAATTGCAAAAAAATTGCAAAAAAAAATCCCTACTTTGGCCTAACCAAGGGTACAATTGGGGTGTAACAGGATTATTAAATGAACAACAGAGGAAAGAAAGAGAACATGCTTACTTGTCAATGACATCTTTGGCCACATTGTCAAAGATCTCATCCTGCTTGGTGTACTGGTCAAATAACCCATCAAATCGAAAAGAGTATTCCTCCTTCTTGTTGTTGATGAAGCCGGACGCCAAGTCCTTGGGGACAACAACGCTCAGCTTAGGGAAGCCACTGTCGTCTTCATCAATTTCAAAAAGCTGGCAAGTGGGGAAAAAACGAGTAGTTACATGCACATTACTTAGCAAGACTGATAGAAAAGTAAATGATCTTCATTTTCAGTCAAGTTGTATTCCATTAATATGCCCCCAACACTGGCATTAGTTACTTTTTAGTCCTATGTTACTTACCTACTCCTATGTACATATTTATATGAGAATGAAAGGAAAAAATTCCGTACTCGGACGTCACTTTTTTCAATTAATTTTCTAGCGCCAAAAGTTACATCTTTTATGGTTATTCCTCCACTTTCCCTCCTCTACTCTCACCCTCTCCTTTCCTTAATTTCTATTTATTAATCAGTCAGTTACTTCATCGGGATTCGAACCTCTGACGCTTGCTTGATACACGAGACTCTTAACCGCTAGGCCGCGCACGATCGCTGTTGCAATAATCAATCTTTGGACGTATTTGAAGTATCCATTGAAATAAACTAAATATTCATGAGAAAATAAATATTCATAATGACGTATTGCACTATCATTGGCAGGCTCATGCGACGTCATGGTTGTTGATGTCACGTGTATAACGTACCGCTGTCTTTCAGCCACTACAATCAGTTTTGACCGGCTGCTTCAAGTTAGTTCTGCACGACGTATGCATCCAAAATGTGCTCTAAAAACACATTTTGAGTAATGTTTTTTCACCTTAACACAGCTTCCTGGATTTCTCTTGGTTCAAATGACAAGGTGAGGTGACAATTAATATGTTTGGCAGCAGATAAATTGACATCCGAGTATGGAACTTTTCCCGAATGAAATTGTGCTCTCTTGTTTTAAACTCACCTAACTAAATAGCTGGTGAAGGCTAGCTGGAGTTACCCAGCCCTGAGTTTTATCATTGGGTTGTCTATAAGGGCTGGAGCGAATTTTTCTCGTAACTTGTAGTATTTGCAAAAAAAATTGGAAAATGTTCAATTTTGTCCCCGTTACACACTAATTGCAACTGCAACTCACCCCAAACTTGCCTGGAATAACCATTACACAGGTCCTTGAAGTAAAAAACGATCCACGATGAAGATTCAGCCTACAATTGCAGTGAAAACAGGAGGAATAACCGCTAACCTGACAACCTTTCAGGCATGGCCAGGACTGCTATTGGTTTGTGCACAAAAAAAATTGTGTACAATGAATGGCGGTCGATTAACAGGCACAGAGAGCGATCGCTGTCAACTACTCGTTTTTGCCGGCTGCGCTGGCGTTGGCGCGTGACGTCACGCGGAAGCGTAACACCCGATGACTGTTTCATGCACTATTGGTTGCGGTTCCAGTACCAAAGCTGTGATGCGAGTGGTAAACCTTATACTAGTGCATGAAACAGTCATCGGGTGTTACGCTTCCGCGTGACGTCACGCGCCAACGCCAGCGCAGCCGGCAAAAACGAGTAGTTGACAGCGATCGCTCTCTGTGCCTGTTAATCGACCGCCATTCATTGTACACAATTTTTTTTTGTGCACAAACCAATAGCAGTCCTGGCCATGCCTGAAAGGTTGTCAGGTTAGCGGTTATTCCTCCTGTTTTCACTGCAATTGTAGGCTGAATCTTCATCGTGGATCGTTTTTTACTTCAAGGACCTGTGTAATGGTTATTCCAGGCAAGTTTGGGGTGAGTTGCAGTTGCAATTAGTGTGTAACGGGGACAAAATTGAACATTTTCCAATTTTTTTTGCAAATACTACAAGTTACGAGAAAAATTCGCTCCAGCCCTTATAGACAACCCAATGATAAAACTCAGGGCTGGGTAACTCCAGCTAGGTGAAGGCCATGATTAGCTTTTCATTCTGAATCTGATTCACAGATCTGAAGCATTTTGTTTTTTTAAACTTAAGAGAAGTAAAGTCTAAGAAACCTACTCTCAGTTGACAACTGACAACATGTATGCAACAGTCATGACAGTCAAATCAAATTCCAAAAAATAGAAACAGCACAAAACAAAAAGGGTCCTAAAAGTAACTAATGCCCCAGCGCTGGCAGCGCATTATCCCATTTAATGGTTGGGACGGTCTCAAATTCATTATCCCAACTGTAATCAGTGCAGTGCGTGCCACAGTGGCTGACTGAAATTTACCCCGGTTTTGGCTTTCGTCGGCTTTATCCGACAGAAGATCTTGATTCCTTGTTTGACCATGGCTGGTTGATATATTCCATTCTATTCTATCTGTTCCCCATCGTTTACACTCATCATAGTTTTAGTGGACATCAACATCACCATGTTCACAAAACCCGTCCGCACTAGTAATACACTGCTGGAATTTTGAAGAATTTGTTTGCAATTATAGCGCCCTCTGTTGGTGAAATAAGTTTTTATTAAAGCTGGCCTTGTCTAGCGAGGCGGACGATGCATTCTTTTTCAGCACGTTGTCGTAAAAGTTGGTACCTTGATCCGGTCTTAACTTTTTCTTTCAAATGGGGCTTGCGGTCGCTGCCGAAGTTAATTGAACATGATGGGGAGTAATAAATAACCGTCTGATATTTTCTACAAATACCCCCGGTGTAGGGGGTTTTGCATAGAAATTTTCAGATACCAACATACGACTGAATTGTCATGGTCGATATTCCTTCATCGTTTGACGGTTTCTTATGAAATTAAATTTCGTAATGTTTAAACATGATGACAAATCACTAGACGAAAACTCAGTTTAAAACATCTTGTATTTCTGGAGTTGTTGCCCCAAAACGAGTCTGGTGGTGGATAATTATCGAGACCACTATTTATGTGGCGCGCCCTCTATTAAATGAAAGAATATTGGTGTGGATGCTAGAATATTGGTGCGAATGCTGCACTATTGAACAAAAATAACAACTCAGTTTCCGATCAATAACACAAGAAATACAGGATGTATTAAACTGACATTTTGTGCAATTATTTTCCACGATGTGTAACAGAGGGGCATTGAATATCATGAGAAACAGTCCCATAATAGAAATAATATGATCGTATCAATGTAGTGTTTTACACGCGAAGAATACACATTGATTTTCATTGGGATTGCATTTGTCGCGCTTAAATGACTGTATTGTTACGGTCAATATCGCTACATTGTTTGACAGTTTCTTATGAAATTAAATTTGGTAATGTTAAACATAATGGCAAATCACTACACGAAAATTCAATTTAAAACTTCTTGTATTTCTGGAGTTGTTGCCCTACCCCCGCCAAACGAGTTTGGTGGTGGATAATTATCGAGACCACTATTTATGTGGCGCGCCCTCTATTAAATGAAAACATATTGGTGCGGATATGCTGCACTATTGAACAAAAATAACCACTCAGTTTCCGATCAATAACTCAAGAAATATTTCATTTAAAACATCCTGTATATCTGCCCCCAAACGAGTTTGGTGGTGGATAATCAGGGGCGGATCCAGGAATTTTCGCAGGGGGGAGGTTTCATCAGCCAAAAAATCTGAAGTACACACATTTTTTTCTCCGGACACTTGGCCTCCGTAAAATCAAAAACTGGGGGGGGGGGGGGGGGGGGGGGGGGGGGGGGCGCTGTTCAAATTCCACGATTATTAACACTCATTACAGAATGGTGAACCGTAGTTTATTTCCCATTGAGAAACAACAGGGTGAATTAAGAATAAAAAATAGGAGATATTTTTGACATGTCGTACCGGAGTAAAAAAGTAAGGATGTTCATCGGACATTTTGAGATTTTTATATTTATTTGCAAAGTTGGTGCATTTACATATACGTGGTTTGTTGGTGTGGAATCTTGAGAGATAGATTTTCAAATTGAGTTGATAATTTTCTAGCATTACATTACTTTAATGAGCTTTCCTCCCCCGCCCAAATTCCTGGATCCGCCCCTGCACGCCTGATGTTGCATTTGTTGCCGGGTGGCAAATTGCAACGGGCTACAGATTTTAAGAGCCAGCCAGGCGGGGACGCTGAATGATAGCAGCAAAATTAGGCCGGCGACATCGGCCTGTCGGAAAAAAGCGTGCACGTCAGACCGCAGGGATGAAGAGCGCCGCCTACTGTCCGAGAGTGTCCATGAGTGTCCGCTTTTGACAGTGCCCCTGCAGGGCCTGCAATAAACTGCCATAGACCCCAATGATAAATGCCCTCAATTCAGAAAGTTGGGGAAAATACTCACAATTTTCTTTCCTAGGTGTTCGAGACACACATCAAAACAAAAGCTTATTTTGTCACCTTCCCTTTTCTTTTCAATTTTTGGGGTATTCTGATGACTTTTGGGAGAAACTTCATCCGAATATGATCACCCCTTAAAATAGTCCTGAAGTCCATCGCCATTTTTGAAAAACGGTGCCTACACTCCATTGCAAAATAGAGCGCTTTTAGGGCCCCAATTTCATTCAAAATGCACAGAAATACAAACTCTCTGTCCTGTGTACGGCTTTCACCCTTATTGTTTACGAACCCTCAATTTCATGGCCTACAATTTTTTTCTCAAATACTGAAGAATTTGAGGGCATGCAAATCGTGATATGGCCGACGTAGGCAATTTCGGGCCGATTTACTGGCCTGCACCTAGACTGTTTCCCGGCCCATGCACCTAAATATATTTTCGAAGTCCAAAGGACAATGGGTCTTGGGAACCGGACTAGCCTGCATCCCTTTAAACAGCTACAGAAGCTTTAATTATATCTTTAGATCTAGGCCATGATAAGTTACCCAGAATGCCATCCCCACCGTCCTTCACAAGATTCTGTGAAGCTCGCCAGCCCTTCCCGGCCCAGCGTCCTAGGCCAAGCTGCAGAGCGGGGGTACGAGCGAAGCGCTATGCACATCGGTGTCATGAACAGCGCCCCTAGTGTAATGCGGTGCATGTCCTGATGTAATGCGTCTACATTTTAACAGTCGTGGTTTTTTTTGGAAATTCAGGATGAGAACTTCTAGTTCATATTATTTTTCACGAAAATAATATTTGATAACAGGCTGACGAAGGACTGTTGGGAACAGCGAAGGGAATATGCATATAGCGTTAGCAAACAAATCCGTAAAAAAAAAATCGTTTTCTTTTTAAAGACGTCCATACGATTTTAAAATAGTATTAGGAGAGTTGAGAATCTGTGTCTGTCCGAATACAAAGAGTAATAGTGAGGCGCGGAACCCCTGAGAGAGGTTTGAACCCCCCCCCCCCCCGCCAACCCCCACCCACGTTCTGACGCACACAAAAAATGAACATCTATCACAATTATAATAATAATAAGGTCCAACTGTCCGCAACGATCGAATATAAACATATATCTCTAACGGGCCTGAACCTTCCCCCCGCCAAAATTCCTGGATCCGCCCCTGCACGCCTGATGTCTTTTTCAAAAAAGGCCTGCATAATAATAGTTTCCATTGTTGCGTAAAGAGAAGTACGTTTAGCACACGTAGGCCTACGACTAACGAGGCTGCCGTATACGATTTTCCAAAGAAATGAAAACAGTGGACTCATTATTGCCCGAAATGTCAACTTCTTTTCGTCCATGGAGCCCAAACAGATGGACCCACCAATGTGCCACGTTTCTCCGCCTATAATATTTAAGAAGAACTCTAAGAAAGCCGAATGGCCTAGTGGTTAGATTCGTCGTACAAACATTGCGCGGCGGCGCGGGGCCCGGGTTCGAATCCCGTCGGTGTCTTTTTGGTTTTTATCGCACTCGTTTAGTCATTTAAGATGTTTAATTTCCCGTCGTAAAATACCAACAGTACCTTAGCTTAACAGGTAAGCACTGCTGCTGGTACTGTCCGCGAGTTCCAGGTTGGCGCCTTCGTACAGGTTCAGGGCATTTGGTCCACTCGGAGGATCAAGGTTTAGGGGCCGCCCTGTTCCTCCCTTAGCTCTTTGCTTTTACATGGTGCCTGGCCCTCGGGGTTATATGGATGGATAGGGAAGGAAGTGTGTATTGGTCGGGGACGCCGAGACCCCGGAAGAGAACTAAGGGATCGGCTGGAGCATTGTTATGGCTCAGACCGATCCCTGAAAGCTTGACTAGCACATAACTTTTTGATTTTTTTTAATCCTCTATCTTTTATACTTTGGTTTAGTTTCATATTTACATCTGCTCGGCAGACATACGGTAGTTTTGAAAACGAAGCAGAGGTCTATGTCATGAATCAATGAATCATAATTGACTATTATAATTAAGACGAAGTTTTGTTCGATCAATATGACTACCATTATTAATGGCGCAACTTCAAATTGGACGTAAAAACGCAATATTTTACCGGGGGAAAATAAAGATGTACATTGTAATATAAACGTTATTTACATGTGACAAAGTCCATCACCCTTAAAACTGGAAATTAAAAATGAAAAACAAAGTCAAGTGGAATACGAGAATGTACATTAATGGTTGAATTGGAAAAAAATCCATTGCATGGGGCTTTTACTGACTTGCTTTTTTACAGTCAGTAACATGCAGGAGCGGATCCTGAGCAAGTTTTTTTTTGAGCCCCTCCCCTGCTCTGACACAAAGGGTAAACCTATTCTAGAATATGCATATACCCCCTAACAAAGCTGCCGATGTCCGTATTTTTGTGCAAAGTGGACATTATTACCAGTAAACAGTTTAAGCGTGTCAGAAGGGGGGGGGGGCGTGTTTCGCATATTTTTTTCACGGAATTCTATGAATTTTTTTGGGGACAGAACTGGCCAAGCAACGCGAGGGGGGCGAGGGGGGCCGATTGCCCCCCCCCCCAAGCAAAAAAAAAAAAAAAAATAGGAAAAAAATGAGGAAAAAAAGAGAAAAGAGGCGCGAAATCATAGTGGTGTAAATTTAATGAGTTTGGGAGGGGGGGGGGTTGAAAAATGTCCCTGCCACCCTCTTTAACTGATAAATCGAGAATTTGTTGAGAAATACAAGATTTTTTTGGGAAATTTTTTTGCCCCCCTCTAGAAAAAGTCCAGGCGACGCCCATGGAGGTGGGGAACTCCCCCTCCCCCAGATCCGCGCCTGCACTTCCTCGATCGTTTTGCGCAACACTTGATCGAGTAGTGTGCAATGACATCGGGGATGACCCTTCATTTCTTCAGAAGCTTTCGGCAGCAGCACGCGCCTTCCGCCGCCGTCTCCTGCAAGGCTAACCCCTTGCAATTTTTGTCAATTTTCGTCCAACAATGAAATGCTCCAAACTTCCTGGAAGGACTCCTAAGGGACCTTGGAACGCATTCCGACTCGATCTAGGGACAGATTTATTTTTAAAAAGTAATCCATATTTTAGCCAAATTTGATGAAAAATGTAAGGCTTACCCCTTGCAATTTGGCAATTTTCGTCCACAAATGAAATTGCTCCAAA